AGTTTGTGGTGAATAATTCACATTTGCTTTGTTATCTTTAAATTATTAAATAAATAAAACAAAAGACATATCATATAAAGAGAGAAATCTTTTGGATTTGGTATTTTTTTTTTCTTTTTTTAATGTGGTCTTATAAATTACCAATTAAATTATGCCACGTGTCATCGGAACGATCCCGTCTTTGAATAAAGGAGTGGTGGTGAGCGTGACAACAAGACGTGAGTTGTAAGATCCTCCAAACCACTGATCCTTTAAAATGCAAGTAGTAAGAGTTCGTGTGCTTAGCCATATGGGTTGTTGTGCGCACGTAAGAGAAGTAGGTTTCTGATGGGCGCACGAGGGTGGGTTGTTAGTGTCACAATCACACTTTTCTGATGTCGGGACAACGTTGGTGTGTGACAGTTGTTCTAACATAACGAGTAAGTCAACCGTACAAAACTTGGGCTTTATGGAAAATCTCGAGGTTGTTTTTAGCCCCAGCTCATGGTTTGAGAGAAAAGGGATTTATAAAACGTGAGAGAGAAAATGAGTTGAATTTCACCGGTTGCATTAAAACAAGTATACCCGAGGCACTTAGTACGTGTTGGAGCCTTGTTGTGCACTCGTCTCCAAAGTCCACACTCCTTTCTTCTGTAGCCAGATCATCTGTGAGATCCCGCATCGGTCGGAGAGGAGAATAAAATATTCATTATAAGGATGTGAAAACCTCTCCTTAGCAAATGCGTTTTAAAAATTGTGAGGTTGATGACTATACGTAATGGATTACAATGGATAACATCTGCGCTGTTATTTCGTTAGTATTTTTAAATTTTTTTAAAAAATTTTAATATTATTAATGAATTGGTCCAAAAGATTTAATTTTTTTTTATATGAAAAATATAAAGTTTTAAATTGTTATTATTAATTTAGAGTTTCATATTTATTTTACTTTTTTTTTTTATTATCCATCAGAAGGATTTTCCGTCGGAGATGTGAGCGGTGGTTTGTCTGAATTCCGACGATCTTCACGGCCATCTGAACCGAGAATCATTTCATAATGGAATTGAACTCTCTTGTTGCAGCGGTAGCAAATCCACACTGCTTTCCGACAAATTTGAAACAGAAACGCCCAATTTTGTTCCAGCAGAGACGCCCCGCAGGTCGAGCGTCGGCTCGTAAGGTACGCCTCAATCACTGAAGTAGTTTAGCAGTTTGAATTCAGATTCTGATGATTAATTTTCAGTTTCTTCCGCTTTTATCGTCATTTGTTGGTTTGTGGTTAGATTAAATTTGGGCGGAAATGGAAAATTGTGATGAATACGCGGATGTTATATTATCATGTTATCCAGAACTCGAATGAGAATATTGTGTGTATGAACTGCTGTGATGATTGATTGTTAATGTAGATTAAGCCTAAGTTCTGAAGAATCGGTTCTGAATGTGTTGTCTTGAAACTTGGAGATGATTAATTGTATGAACTGTTAAGTAGTCTGATCGGGGACTTTGATGTTACTAGGGATTGTTCTTGTAAATAAAATTGAAGCAAAAGGTCCTCTTTGAAGTGGCTTGCTCATGATATGATGAGGGTCTGAGGGTGTGTGTGGATGCCAGGTTAAATCTCCTTTAGGGACCATGTTAGGCTAGTGGCTTAGACGTTCGTTCCAATGTTGAGTTATTCTTGATATGTTGAGTTAGAGTAAATCTAATCCTTTGATTTATTCTTGACGTTTCAAGATTGATGATAACTCTCTGCAAGAACTTAGCAGGGCATAGTTTAGGCATTATCAGTACTTAAAATTAAAATCACGTTCTTTCATTTTCAAGTAAGATTTAGATCAGTTTGGGTTTAGTTCTTGATCATGTTTAGAGGTAAGAGCCCTAGCTCTTGGAAAGACCTCACTAATTGGCTTTCGTTGTTATCTGACAATTGTTTGAAGTTGGAGATGGGTCAAGTCACTGATCTTTTTCTGGAAGAACAATGTGTGGGGACTGTGTCCCTTGTGGAGTTTGTCTAGGATGTACTTGTTGATATTACTCTTCAGTGACCTATGGCTATGGCTATGGCTATAGCTATGGCTATGGCTATAGCTATGGCTTTTACGGGGAAAACTGTTGCATGAAATACATTATTCACGAGAGATGAGATTTATGCAACTGCTAGCCGATATTGTCCTCTTTGGACTTTCCCTTGAGGTTTTTAAAACTCGTATGTTAGGGAGAGGTTTCCACACCCTTATAAAGAATGCTTCATTCTCCTCCCCAACCAATATGGGATCTCATAATCCACCCCCTTCGGGGCCCAGGGTCCTTGTTGGCACACCGCCTCATGTCCACCCCCTTCAGGGCTCAGTCTTCTCGCTGGCACGTCGCCCGATGTTTGGCTCTGATACCATTTGGAATGGCCCAAGCCCACTGCTAGCAAATATTATCCTCTTTGGACTTTCCTTTTTGGGTTTCTCCTCAAGGTTTTTAAAAGGGAGAGGTTTCCACACCCTTATAAAGAATGTTTTGTTCTCCTCTCCAACTGACATGGGATCTCACAATTTATGAGATAACGCATTCGATTCAAGGAAAATACTTTGAGATGAAGGCATATTAACAAAAGGACTTACATATCACAATTATTTCTTGGGGAAATCCGTACAGCTAATGGATCTCTGTACAATTAGGAGCTTTAAAGTAACAAAACAGAAATAGAGTGATTTATCTACTGATGAACATGTTATAGATATTCACACTTCCCTAATTTTGTTTATTTTATACGCAATGTACTTAGGATAGATACTCCGGCAGAACAAAGAAAAAGGAAGCTTTGCTGGCGATGATTCTTCTATCAACCATTCCCAAGTGATTGAGAAATTGAGCCAAAGAAGAACGCCTGTTTTAGCTCAAGAGATTTTCTTGGAGCTGAAATCTGAAGATTTTCCATTAAACAACTCAACATTGTCTTCTCTTATGGTACGCTACATAGATGGTGGTCTTCTCCTCCAAGCAGAAGCAATTTGGGAAGAAATGTTAAACAGTTGTTTCGTGCCTTCCGTTTTAGTAATTTCAAAGTTACTTAACACGTACGGAAAGATGAGACGCTTCGACGATATAATTAAAGTTCTGGATCAGGTAAAGCTAAGGTATTTACACTTACTGCCTGAAGCATACTCATTAGCCATATCATGTTTTGGGAAGCATGGTCAATTAGAATTGATGGAAAACACTTTGAGGGAAATGGTTTCCAGTGGTGTTCCAGTTGATTCCCGTACAGGAAATTCCTTTATTGCATACTACAGCATTTTTGGTTCTCTGATGGAGATGGAAACCGCCTATGGCCGCCTTAAAAGGTCTCGATTTCTAATTGAGAAGGAAGGCATCCTGGCAATGGCGTTCGCCTACATAAGGGAAAGAAAATTTTACAGATTAGGGGAATTCCTTAGGGATGTTGGTCTTAGAAGGAAAAACGTGGGGAATATGTTATGGAATCTTCTACTTTTATCTTATGCTGCCAATTTCAAAATGAAAAGCTTGCAGCGTGAGTTTCTGGCAATGGTTGAAGCTGGATTTAATCCGGATATTACAACGTTTAATATTAGAGCTATGGCATTTTCAAGAATGGATTTGTTATGGGATCTTCATCTTAGCCTTGAACATATGAAACACGTGAAGATCGAACCCGATCTCGTGACGTACGGTTGTGTTGTTGATGCATATGTAGATAGAAGACTTGGAAGGAATTTGGAATTCGTTTTGAGCAAAATGAATCCAGATCAACCTCCAATATCATTAACAGATCCGTTTGTTTTTGAGGCATTGGGTAAAGGAGATTTCCACATGAGCTCTGAGGCGTTCATGCAGTTCCAGAAGCAGAAGAAATGGACTTACAGAGAGTTGATATCATTGTATCTGAAAAAGCAACACAGGAGAGATCAAGTCTTTTGGAATTACTAGCCCGAACCGATATTCATCAACAACTCTCTTTGCCCGGCAATGACTAGACAAGTAGCAGGGTCAAGGTAGCATTCCTCTCGAGTAGTTAGTCTATTTCCATCAGCCGGCTGGTGGGAGCGAGAAGTTTGGGATATGTAACATAAGCTCCTTGATGGAGTCATTTGATCACCGAATTTGAGTAATTTCAACCTGCCGGCCGGCAATTACAGTGGTGTATAGGTTTTCTTTTAAGATAACATGGTAGATTGATTCCGAGTACGTTCGAACATTTAGTAATGGAAGTTTCAAAACGACCAAGTAATGGTAAAACATGTTAGACATAAATTTAAAAGTTTGAAGAGCTTGTTAAATCTTTTTATTAATAAAAAGTGTATTGCAAACAAATAAAAAGAAAAATAATGTAAGCATCTTTATATTTTCTACAATACTCCACGAAAGTTATAATTTTTTAATAGTACCAAATAGAAAAATTAAGCTTAAAGGTTAAAAATTATATTTCATAACAATAAAATTGGTTTCAATAAATATTTATTGTACAAAACTTTATTTTATCCCAAAAAAAACCTAAAACTTTATTAAAATTTATAACAAAGAATTAGAATTTCTTAGAAATTTAAGTGAAATTGTAATATTAGGATTTGAATTTGCATAATACAAAATAAAAAATTTAAAACCTAACAAAGGCTAAAAGGGCTAAAATGCCCCCATATGAAATGGTAAAGACCTATCTCTAAAATGAAAGCATGTGAAAAGGGATTGGAACGGACATGCAACCGTGTACAACATGTCCTAGACAAGCAAAACCAGGATATCTATCATGCAGTCATAAACAGCACGCCTTGGACAAGCATGACCGTGACACCCTCCCCCACTCAATTGGTTGACGTCTCTGTCAATCAACTCGACCAAGCAAGCAAAACTGAAACATCTGTCATGCAGTCGTAGGCAACATACTTTGGACAAACATAACCTTGACATCTCTATTTATTTAACTTCATACTAAGATAAAGAAATAAGAAAAATATGACATGAGGTTCGATTTGAAGGGGAAAAAAAAAAAGATAAACTCAAAACTTTAGAGATTAAGAATATGAAACTAAGATTATTGTCACGTATCATATATAAGATTCCAATTTTGTGTTCTTCAAAAGGAGATCTAAGTTCCTCTGTGTTAAGTGTATATAAGAAAGTACAGAAACTGTCAAAACAACCTTTTTCTGTGCCAATAATAAACAATGAGAATGGTAACCCATAAGCAAACACAGAATCCCAATATCTTCCTACTCTATGATTCATCCATGAGGTTAGATTCAGATCTTACATCCTTCTCATCTTGCCCCGCCTCAGAACTCGACATTTTCGAAACAGAATCCTCGAGCGCCTCGAGAAAAGACAACACCGTAAATTTATCTGCAAGAAATTAGAGAATCGTTTAAGTATCACAACTTTTTAGAAGAGCTAGAAAAGGATCTTCACAACCGAAATATTGAGATCCTCGTGTTATGGTCACAGCCCCCCACGACCAACTCAAACCAACAAGGTCATGTTCGATAACCATTTGGTTTTGAAAAATTGTGTTCGTTTTTTCAACATTACCATGAGTTTCATTTTTTCTTTAGAAAACACTTAACATGACATTTATTGAAAAAACTTGAGGCCTTTCGAAGCACAATCTACTTACATTTGCTCGGGTCTATCCCGAACTGAGACAAATCTATCTGTCCAGTCCGAAGAACCTACAAAAACATCAACACCAACAAAATGGGGTAAAGATTGTCAAATTTGATCGCCAATTTATCATTTGAAACGAAATCCGGGGTTTAGATTCGTACGTAAGTAAACGAATCTACTTGTTGACGGAAAGGTGGGCTTTGTAACAGTTCCAAGATATCCTCAGGAGACCATGGACCCTGCAATCAGAATATAATTGAATAATGAATAAAAGTATAACAAAGGATCAAATAACAAAGTGGTGTATACCTCTGGTAAATACGATGCTAAACTCTGTTCCAATGGCAATGTTTCCAACAATGGCATTATCAGATCAGGCTTCAATAAATCTCCTAATCCAAAACCTACATCCATAGTCACGGAAGTTCAACATAAATCTAGGGAAACAGAGTACACAAGAAAAGTAGAGAGTTAAGGCAACTTTCTAACGTAGAGCCAAGGTTCTCTGGTGGAAGTTGAATGCCATTAGATGCATTCAGGAGACTTGGCGGAAACAAGGAGAAAATTTCCTAAGGTGTGGGTAGGAATAATAATATGAATTGAATTGAGTTTTTATGTCTACTATAACACCCAAGCCCAAGCTCACCGCTAGCAGATATTGTCCTCTTTGGGCTTTCTCTTTCGAGCTTCCCCTCAAAGGTTTTTAAAACGCATCTGCTAGGGAGGTTTTCACACCCTTATAAAGAAAGCTTCGTTTGCCTCCCCAACCGATGTGGGATCTCATAATTTACCCCCCCTCCCCTTCGGAGCCTAGCGTCCTCCATGACACTCGTTCCCTTCTCCAATTGATATGGGACCCCAATCCACCCCCTTCGGGGCCCAGCGTCCTTGTTGGCAAACCGCCTCTTGTCCACCCCCCTTTGAGGCTCAGCCTCCTCGTTGGCACATCGCCCGGTGTCTGGCTCTGATACCACCATTTGTAACAGCCCAAGTCCATTGCTAGCAGATATTGTCTTCTTTGGGCTTTCCCTTTCGGGCTTCTCCTCAAGGTTTTTAAAACGCGTTTGCTAAAGAGAAGTTTCCACACCACCTTAAATGCTTTGTTCGCCTCCCCAACCATGGCAGCTACATTGTGGTCATCATTATTTATTATTTTTTCCTTCCTTCCTAAGGAGGAGGAATTTGAACCTACACCCTTTAGGAGAAGTTGAGATGCCTTAACTACTAATCTTAGGTTGGCTCATTTGTGGTTCACCTATAGACACTTTTGTAGTTTTGAGTCTCTTTTGACCATTATATGATTTATACCAATGGATAGGATCCCCTATAATTTGGTATCCTTGAGTCGTGAAAATTTTATTTATTAATGAGATAGTTTTAGGATCTAGACAAAAAAATTGGTTGAATATCTATATATATATATATATATATATATATATATCTGCATAGGGGAAGAATTCTTCAAGATAAGTGCTACCACGTAAACATGATACAAGAAATGTAAAGAAATTCTAAATGCAACTTATTACCTGCATCTGGATCAACATCAATGTCTGCAGAGTTCAAAACCAGCACAAAATTATAAGAGTTTGGAGTGATCAAAAGGAAAAAAGGGCATCAGAACATGTTTGAGGGTAGAATCGTGTACCAGAAGACTCAATGTTGCTTAAAATTCTTTGCAGGTCTTCCAACTTCACTGGCCGTAGTGAGGAGCTTCAATGTCATGACATTAAAATTAATTGTCAAAAGTTTTAGCTAATGAGAAAGAAAACCAACCAAAAGACGAGAAAATATTCCAATGAAGTATATACAGTAGGGGAACTTTCATACAACACATCCCAAAATTCTAATCAAACGTAGCCCTACACTCTCAAGGCTCAAAAAATAGGGTTTAATTTGCTCCAACTAATCAAGAAATACTGTTTCTAATACTTTTTTTATTTTTTATGAAAAGTCGACTTTTCATACTGGAAAAATGCAAGAATATAAAGGTATAAAAAAATCAGCCCCACAAAAGAAAACACACTTAGACTAAGAAGGAGCTCCAATCTAACAAAATGAGACTTAGGAATAATTAAAAAACTCCTCAACATCAAAGCCCAAAGAGAACATTTAACCTAACAAAGTCCATATAATGAATGCGCTTCATTAATACTTCTTCCTAAAGTGCTTAAAGAAAAAGTATTCTACTAAAAAACACAACTCTTAAAAGTCAAACGCAGTCTTCTTCCACAAAAGAGATCTTTCCACCCAGTAATCATTAGAAATTACATTTCAATTGAATCCCTAAATATCAGAGATCAGATGACCCTTTTCCCATAATTAGAAATCTATCTCTATCAATTTAAAAAAAAAAAATGAATTTTTTGATCATTCAAATAGGTTGGCATTACCACCGTTATTTGAAGAATCAAAAGGATCATTAAAGAAAAGCGGGTCTTTGCTATACTTCAAAGGGATATTTTTTTTCAACTATGTCATGCTTGAAAAGTGCAGCCAGGGATAGTACCACCCAAATAAAACCCATTTGAAGCCTCAATAGAGTTTCAAAAAGAATTAATCAAACCAGAAACAGAGGCAGATCAATTTTATACCTTGATGGGATATTTTCTTCGACTGTGCCTTCTGAAACTTGCAGAGGAGTGGAAGCAACAGATTGTTCTTCCTCAAGGAACTCTGAGAAACAAAAACAAAGATGGAAGTAAAGGGGTGGGCCAACATATGCAGCTCGTCCGGGATCTTGTGCAGTCAAAACCGAACAATTCAATCCAGCACACATGCTATTAAATTTCCATTATGGATGAACTTCATTCTAAAGAAATTATTACGCCATATTTTAATGTCGGCATTAATATTTGACTCTCGATATGCAATGAGGACGCCAGTCAATGAGACAATTTCCAAAATATACTTATGTGGTTTCTTTATCCGTTTTTCAGGTTTATTTTGGTTCGTATACCTTAACAATAATCGTAAAAGATAAAGACACTTTGGACACAGTAAATTAAGTGGTAGAACATTCAGTATATGAGCGTGTCTTGTGTGAATGTATGCATGCCACAGAAAACCACAAATACTAGCCTGCACTTGACCCAGTATAACTGGTTAACAATTTATTATGCAAGCTTTAATCAGCAGATAGTCAAACAACTACAATAATTAGGACGTACCCAGTGGCCGATTAATGTAATCATTAACGGAGATACACAACTGCTGGTCATCTTCAGCTTTGGGCTCCTAGTTACAGTTTATCTAACGTTGGTCAGAATGGCAAAAAATAGTAGAATATAAGTCAATTCTCTCAAAGGATAAAAAGTAATCACAGATCAGACCTGCATCCAAAAGAAGAATTTCCTGTCATCTGTTTTAAACTTCAATAAGTAAACTCTTCCTGACGCTTGATTAACCTGAAGCAGAGAAAAACTACAAGTTTAACCTTGGAGCCAAATAAGATTGAAAATTTTGTTTGGTCATTGTGTTCTCTAGAAATCTCAATGCTAACTAACAAGTGGATTCAAAGATACCCCACCTAGTTCAATCAGTGCATGTGTGTTTGTTTATAACAATGAAAATATTGATCGCCTCTCTGCTCAATGCTTGCAACCATAGAAGTGGGAGACTAGTTGTTTGAACTTTTCAGCATAAATGTTAGGACAAAGTTCATTATAGGAGTGTTCTCGGAGGTCTTTGAGGAGACTAGAGGGATGGAAGAAATTTTAATATATCCCTCTGTGTATCTAACTGCAGACAAGGATGGTAATTTTCTTTGTTCACAGTTATTGCTTGATTGGAAGCCACTCTTACTGCCCCTTTCCCCCTTTATATAGATCTTTCTATTTCTTCGCTACGAGTACTTCTTTAAGAAAATAAAAAAATAAAAAAGAGAGAGAGAGAGTATTACACACCTTCTCAAAAACTGCTTCATCAGGAAAAACAATCTGGTCCTTTGATACCTTGTATTAAGGAAAATAAAAAAATATCTAGCTAGCAAACTGGTAACAACAGAAAAAAGTCATAGCTGAGGAATAGAGAAGAGTGCAATGCAATGATATAATGAATATGATCTTATTACTCTGCGCCAGCCTTATGTTTGGAAAGAAGAATACACCGTCCATTGACACATCAACTTTAATAAATATACTAATAAAGAGTGATGATGCTGTCAACAGTAAACAAAAACCATCAGTGCAACAGAATGTAACAACCAGTCCATGACAGAACGCACAAAAAAAAAAAAATTAATATATTACGAAATTAAATTAAACTCAGAAATCATTTCCACTGCTTGCAGAAAGAGTCACAGCCGAATATCCACTTACATTAATAAGAGTTCGTTCCTAATAATGGGCCAGTTTAGTTCATCGTCTTTCTATAACATTCAACTATGATATATAAAAAATCATAATATTTCATCGTGAAGTATGAAGCTTTTCAGATTGTCTTTTATCTTTTGTCCTTTTCTCTAGTGGGGGTAAGCCTTCAAAGTCAAGTGAATCAAATATTAGGATGAAAACCACACATTCTTAATTTAATAATCAACGGAAATAGTCTACAGAAAGGTATATGCATTAACCAAACACGAAGAATTGACAATTGACACAAGTGATCAGGATACATCTTCAATGACATTTTGCGTTCGGTCAAGCCACTGAAAGTGCAGCAATCCCTCCTCACCCTGACATAGAAAAGATAACACAGGGTTCAAAGAGAGAAATTAGTTTTAACTGGTGGAGGTTTAGGTTCAACTAGAAGGTGTAACTTAACAGATCGACTATTGTATAACAAGGGGGAAAAGCTATTCTTACAAGTATGCTTCTACCTCCCCTTCCCTATTCTTTTTTCTCTTTAGAGAGAAAACCATCTTTCTTTAAATTTAGGGGGCGGAATGTCAACAAAAACAAAGGGCAAACCAACGGAAGGAAACAAAAAGAAAACAATTACCTAAAAAATAAGGATCCCAACTGACAGTCACATAAATTACAAGAAAAAAGGTTCTGAATTCTGAAATCAAAGAGATGCATTAAGATGCACCAAACCCGTCTTCTTACAATGCATCTAAACTTGAAAAAGTTTGTCAACTTCTTCCCAACCATATAAACCACAAACTATAAAAACGTAGGCTTGCCACAATAAGCAAAATATTCAATAAAAACAAATGTCCTTAATCTAAAAATGGCAGACTCAAGGTGATCTCCTCTATCAAATAACAAAGAATTGATACCTGAACCAAATACAAACCAAAAGTCTATTACAAACAACCTTGGTAGCAAAAGACGTGGATCAAATCATAGAAAGTCTTAGGACTTGATCCTCCCAAAGAGACGAGGAGCCATGAAAATTACCAAAAATTTTTTGAAATTTTTTACTTAGATATTCATGAGTGTTCAGACCAACTTGCCCACACCTTGACTATTCTTATGGGATAACCACTTGACCCTACTACATTTGGTTGCCAAGTTAATTGTCATGATATTAAATCTTAAGTTGGTGGCCGCCACAGCTTGAACCTATTTCCTATATACCTTTATTATTTACCTGACCCTCTATGACCACCAAGTTAACCCACGTTTGAAAAGGCGACCAGTAAATAAGTGCTCTGGACAATGCTGGAATGAAAAGAGATGCACACTTCAAGATTAAAGATGTCCAACAGACACAGCAGCCTTTGCATGAACAAGCAGTGGGAAAAGAGGTGATTATGCATTCTATGTCATCAAGATAGAGAGCAGCAACTTAAATTTTTGAATGAGGATCTCTCTTTTGAGTAATATACATTTTGCTAATGCCGCTACGAGGATATTCCACAATTAACACATAACAAAAAGATTTATGTAAACATGTAAAAATTCAAACTCACCCTTCCAATACGAACAAGTCCTTTACGTGTATCAGGCATAACCCTTTTTCCTTCAAAACACATTTTTCCAGCACGAAATTCCAAAAGTATTTCCTGCCACAAGAATCAGTTAGTTTGAAACAAATAAAATGTTGGCTCAAAATAAAGAATATGACAATATAAATATATATAAGTCTAATAGACTGTATCCAGAATCATTGTATTATATTTCCAAGAGAGGGTATTAATCCAAGCTATGATGTGAGCAATTTTCTTTTTTTCGTCCCATTCCTTCGTCCTTCCTTTCTTCCTTTCTTTCTTTCTTTCTTTCTTCTTCTACTTCTTTTTATGGAGACACTTCTTATCGAAAGAGAAGGTATAAAGTTACTCTAGTCAATTGGAGTTTAAAAAAACATGCAAGTTTGAATTAATTAAAAAGGGGGAATAATTTTTTTAAAGAAAAGGAAAGGAAAAGAGAATACCAACACTTACTAACCCCTAAACTTGTTCAAAAAATCCTATTGTTCCTTCCAATATTCAATCCTCACGTCACAACAATGCCTTAACTGCATTCAACAAAGCACCTTCAGTTTCCCTTCAAACCATTTTTTAATAAGAAACAGTAAAGGCATAAATCCCAAAGAAAGGCTAGTACAGCCTAGGGGTTAAGGGCAGAGAGAAACCCCTCACAAAAACTACATCATAAGAGCCGCCAGTCATATGTGATCCTCAACAAACTATAATTACAAATAATTTTCTGTGTAGTGTAATCCACCAAGAGGACGTATTTTGTACATGAGTACGAAGAAAATCATAACATAAGAGCTTATCTTCGAAGGTTCTAGCATTTCTTCCTTTCCACAAGTGCAATAATAGTGGTCTGAAGGCACAGCTACCGACTACCTTTGTTTTCCTTTGCAAATTCCAAGCATTTAGGCCTTCCATGAGACAATCATCCACTTTTTGAGCGAGGTCAAAGGATATTCCCAGCAGCCCAACTAGGTAATTCTATGACAGATACGCAAAATCACAATGAAGGAAAAGATGATCAATACACTCGCCATCCTTTAACCATAAGGGACCAATCTCTACACTTCCTTTGCAGTCAGTCATCCGTATTTAGACTTCTAAAAGCCAAGGACCAAAGAAAGATCATAATTTTCTTCAAACTTTTGTGTCTCCAAAATCAAGCTAGTCAAGGCTGTATTGTCCATAGAAGAATTACGGAAGAGCTTTTGAAAGGCCAGTTTGCTTGAGAACTTTCCCGATCCCTCCATGGTCCAAAGTATTCAATCAACATCATTCCCCAATCACACCGAGTTTAGCTTTTGTATCAGGACTACCCATCTGTTTAATTCTCTATCGAGGAAACCTCTCCTAATGCCTAGGTTTCAAGCTTGATTCTCCCTGTCCCAACAATCAAAGTTTTTTTTTTATTTGACATTGCATAGAGGTCGGGAATACTAACCCTCAAAGGAACTTGGTCGATCCACGCATCTTCCCAAAAATTAAATCTATCTCCACGCAAGAATTTAGAAATAGTAACATTAGCTGCCTCATGCCAAACCCATGACAAGCCTCTATCAAATGATATACTAAACATCTTCGTAACAGTCTTTCTATCCCTAATTGTTAACCAGACTTCCTTCATAAGGGCCATGTTTGAAGCTTAAGGGGTATTAAATAGATAATCAACTATATCAGTAGAGGACAAGTATTCCATCCTAACATCTACCAACTCAGATATCACCGAAAGTACTCAATGGGCTTTCTTCCAATTTCGTGTCGTAAAGATCTCTCTTTCCACAAAATTCCATTGGAAGAGTAAACCCATCTCAAGTCTCCTCGATAATAATATCTTTCTCCAGTACAAGGTCCCCCACTATTGCTTGTTCTAATTTGAGAGAGGAAAAAAACTCATATGGCCTTTCAACGTCCAACTTATTCAGTAAAATGTTAGCCAAGGAACATGAGCAATCCCCTCGTTTTCCCACTTTCACAAGCCTAGCAAGGTAGCTAATTCTATAGAGAAACTTTTCAGCCATTGCTTTTGTAGGGAAGCAAAGTTAAATAGCATTGCCCATTTGGATAATTAGCCAAGACCAAGAATCAATCCCCCTTGGACTATGATGGGGTGGGCATCAGTAACATCGACAAAGGAATTTTTCTTCTTGCTCAACAAATTTGGATACTTTACCCTTGAAAAAGATTGTATATACCACCTTGGCCATAGGAGAAGTGATAAGGATCATGGTGTTTCAAATGTTCCAACTAGACCTATTACACGATTCAAGGCCAACAAGATTCAACAAGTATTCATTCTTCATCTACAAAATTGGATAGACTCGGTTCAACCATTATTTCATGTATTACAAGCTGATTGGATTGATGAAGGACGATTTCGAGCTTCAAAAGTGAATATTTGCACGGTTGAAGTAGCAGAAGTAGCAGATGAAGTTGTTATGAATTGCACTTGATTGATAAGTGGTTAGAAAACTTTATTTATTATTTTTAATTTCATAATTCCTGGTAGAAAAGGGTGGGGGAAATTACTTATCAAAGTGACTCTTTTGTGGAGATTTAAAAGGGTGTGGGAGTAAATTATGGCCATTAACTTCTTTAGTGGGCATTTGAAAAGTTGAAAGTTTGTTTTCTAGAGAGACTATAAATACCCACAAATTACTATGTAAAAGACAGATTTTAATGAATGAAATTTAGCTCTCAAGTCAAGACTTTCACCCTTAGAAAGTTGAGCATCATTTTTTCCATTTCTAAGTTTCAAACAATTCTTGTGATAGATTGCATTCGAGTCATTCAATCAAACCTTGATCAAGTTTGATTGTGGAGTGACTCAATTTAGAACAAGATTTCAAGTCTTGCTTCTAAATCTTTGATCTTAAGAGGTAATCTAATTCTAGCCTTATCTCTTGGTCGATCCAAATTTTGTATAAGGAGATATTAATTTCTTTGATTCAAGCTTTTATTGAAGCAAGAACTGTAAAAAAAAAAAAGGGAAAGAAAGAAGAAAAGAATCAAACTCCTTTCTTGTTTCTTTACAATTAAAAAAGGAAAATGACCCAAATGGCCAAATGGGAAAACGGGAAAAGTTCGTAAAGGTTTTGAATAATGCCTCTGCTTCTTCTTCATTTACTCTGCCACGGTCTTTCTTTCTTTCTTATTCTGACCAGAGGAGGATGATTGAGCTCTCATGACTTCTCTGCAAATCTCGTTTTCAAAATCCACAAAAATAAATTCATTCAAAAACCCTTCTCTTTCTCCTCCTCCTCCTCTCTTCTCTCTCAATAAAATAAAGCTCCTTAACCATTCTCTCTCTCTCTCTCTCTCTCTCTCTCTCTCTCTCTCTCTATCTGTGCTGAGTGAGAACGCCATCCACTCCCATTTTCAGTCCTATAACCCTAACCCTCATCCCAATGATCCAAGCTTTTGTTGAAGCAAGAACCCATGAATCAAAGAAATTAACACCTCCTTATACAAAATTCAAATCAACTAAGAGATAAGACTAGAATTAAATTACTAAGATCAAAGATCTAGAAGCAAGATTTGGAATCTTGTTCTAAATTGAGTCACTCCACAATCGAACTTGATCGAGGTTTGATTGAATGGCGCAGATGCAATCTACCACAATTATTGTTTGAAACTTAGAAAGGGCAAAAATGATACTCTAAATTTATAAGGGCGAAAGTCTTGACTTGAGAGATAAATTTCATTCATAAAAAATCGGCCTTTTACATAGTCACTTGTGGTATTTATAGTCTCTCCACACAAGAAAATTTCAACTCTTCAAATGCCCACTAAAGAAGCTAGTGGGCATAATTTACTCCCACTCCCTTTTGAATCTCCACAAAATAAAAGAATCACATTGACAAGTAACTTCTCCCACCCTTTTGCTCGCTACAATAAATTATGAAATTAAAACTACAATAAATTATGAAATTAAAAATAATAAATAAAGTTTTCTAACGACTTGCCAATCAAGTGCAATTTATAGCAACTTCATCCGCTACTTTAATCGTGCAAATATTCACTTCCGAAGCTCCAAATTGTCCTTCCTCAATCGAATCAGCTTGTAACACATGAAATAATGGTTGAACCGAGCCTATCCAATTTCGTAGATCAAGAATGCATGCTTGTTGAATCTTCTTGGCCTTGGATTGTGTATAGGTCCACTTGGACATTTGAAACACCAGGATCTACTTATCAAGAAGGCAACAAATTTCAATTGTATAAGGATCCTAAGCTTTGTCTTGAACACTCTCTTCTCTGTTTTTTCCTCTTTACTCTCGTACATTTCTAAAAAAAACATCTAGTTTGCAGCGTGTCTTGGTTTGGTTCTCAAGCTGAAACAACTTCTTACGACTTTCAATTTCATAGGCCCACATCCTTGATCGAGAAATTGAGAAATTAGCTTCTCTTTATTTGTTTCATCAAGTAGCTATTTCCCTTCCCCTCGTACAAAGACCCACATTTATGGTCCCTTGAGCCATGTGGATCCTCTTCTTGCAAGGCTTTTCTTCTCCACTTAGCCTCCTCGTTTTACCCCCTCCTTGTCTCATTCTTTCTTCTCCTCCTAGTGGAAACTCAAAATCCCAAAAAAAAAAAAAAAAAAAGGTTTTCACTTGGTTAGTTGCATTGGGAAAGGGTTAATAAACATTGATGTCTTGTTGATAGACTCCTCTCATCTTTTACGCCTTTTTTTTTTTCTTTTTTTGACCGAAACAGTTTTAGGACCAAATTGATGCCTTCTTTTTTAGTATGATTACAAGGATCTAAATCATTCTCTAAATTCATTTGTTGGTATACCTTTTTTCCACCCAATATGGAAGTGTCTTTGGAAGGGTTTCAATTTGGCCTAAGCAAATAGGCTAATCATTTTGGAGGCACAAAAGGAGGCTGTCTTTCAGCTCCATTTTAAAGAAATGGGTCATGATCTGTAGCGGGCTAATTCCTTTGCAATTTTATGGTTCGTCTGACTAGGAAGGTATGGGAGAATGTTTTTGGGGAGAGGTAGTTCATGGGAAGACGTACAAAATTTGGAAGGACCTAAAGAATTCACAGCTATCCTTTGTTGTGATTGTTGTTCTCCACATTTTGAGTGAGCCCTTCTTTTATGTGGGTTGGTTATTTTACTTTGTTTTTTCATCTTCCTAACAAAACCCTTATGAAGAAGAGTAACTACAACAGAATATTATACCACAAGCTAAAACTTCACTATAAAAATACAACTTTATGATAATAGTGAGAGTCCTTGAGCCGCCCAGAACATGCTTTCCCTAACGCCACCAAAATTCCTTGATAGGAATTACTTCACAGGGGTTTTCTTGCAAGTACATCGTTTATGGCGTTTAATTTCTTGGGGACTCGAACTCCCACTGTTTTTTTTTTCATTTTTTGCAGCGTCTGTTCCATCAATTACCTCAATAAAGACGTTTTCGATCAAAGTGGTTAATAGAGAAAAATTAGCTCCAATGATCAAACCGGAACTTTTTGTATAAAACTCAAACATGCAGCGGGATAACATAGTACATAGATTCCCTGCACAATCTCTCTCCACTTCCCTACCTCCCGCCCCTCCCAGCTATAGACTCGCAAAATGAATCAATGTATAGATAGCAATACGTAGGTAAACAGAACAATACAGCGGCTAAGAAGCCTACACAATTTACCTGCATTACCGGAACGGCCTCCGTAGACGACGAGTCCATATCTTCACTTAGTCGATTCACCTTCCAACAGAGCAAGAAAACTACCACAAAGCAAAAGAAAAAGAGGGAGAAGCATCAAAACGAGTAATCCGATCAAGAAAACACACAAAACCAATAGAGTTTCCCGAAACGAAACTACACATATCGAATCAACTAAACCTCGCGGGTATTAGAATACTTGAAAACCCTTTCGGGAGTTGGAATCAAAGATTGGCATCAAGAATAGTGAAAAGAACGATTGAGCACAGATGGAAGAAGATGAATTATGCGGCGCATACCAGGAAATCGATTCAGAGAGTTGTGGGAAAATGGGAATCCGAAGCGAAGAGGAGAAAAGCACTGAAATTGCAGAGGGAGCCTTTCCTTCTTTTTTTGATATGCGGAGCCGAAAGCCGCGGTGTTTTCTCCTCTGTATTATAAATTTACACACAAAATATATATATATATATATATATATATATCACGATCTACATTTTTTACCGGCTTGATTTTGAAACGCTCATGACCAACCTTAAGGGAATTAAGCCCATATATATTTTTCGCCCGGCTTTGTCTTCCTCGTACTTAGGCGAGGTTTGTCTTCGCTAATCGAACATCGCTTGTGCGGAATCTATGCTTGTTCAACCACACACGCCGCCTTTGCGTTGTGTGCATGTTCAATCGTCTACGACACATCCGACTTGCCTCTACACTAGGTCAAGTCATTCGGCTCGACCTTGTCTTTGCTCGAGATCAAGGTCTCTCAATGCAACGTCGCATCTCATCTAGTCATCTTGATCCCTATCGACATGGTCCATATGTCTTGACGTCATCCCAAGTCTCGAGATATCGTCAGCCATCACAACTCGTTTGGTCATGCCAATGAGAACGGGCTCGTGGGTCGCTCATCTCATCAAGACATCCCAAACATCCATCCATCTGGGTTCTATCGAGGCATCGACCCTCTCTTACTCATGTCGTGTCATTTGCAGATACTGTGCCAAATAGCGTGTATATGTAGCAACCTCCAACACGCGGGTTGGAGCACAATACCGGCACACTCGTGCCGCCCAGTACTGTCCTTCAAAAACCCATTTCAAAAGAATTTGCTCGAGACACATCTCGGTACGCTCGCCCACACTGTGACACACGTATGTGCCACAGGGTAGCTCACTTAAGACACAGGACCCCGGGCTATCGAGATTAATTTTAATTTATCCTTAAAAAATTAGAGATTTTCATATATATATATAATATATATAAAAGAATCCCTATTTTTTTTTAAGGATAAATTAGAATTTATGAGAGTCGATTATAAATTTGTTCTGTCGTAACATATGTCAGCCCGAGCATATTTTAATATAACTTTCTTTTAATAGTGTTTAATTAGCTTTTAATGAAAAAAAATCTCGAACAGGTGGCTTCTTTGTTTCCGCCTATGATCCTTCCCAACTTTTGGGATGCTCGATGATCGAATACAAGCTTCTCGATTTATAAAGACAAAATAGAGGGTTGATGTCAATAGTTCGTCGCGAACAAATAACTCATTTAACCGAGATCACTAATGTAATAGAAAATAACTATTTTGTTTATGTTTTTTTTCCAATTTTATTGCGATTATCAAAATTGAAAAGGGTTTTTGGAAAAAAAAAATCTTAAAGTTAAATTTTATACCTAAAATTTAATCACTATTCATTAATTTAATATTATCGAGAATTTAGAAGAACGTCGGCGTGAGTTTAACTTAATCTTAGTGGTAATTATTGTTTACAGCTTCTTTTGCCGTTGAAAGTTCAAATGTTCATATCTTATATGGATTGTATCGAATAAAAAAATTATTAATTAAACTTTTTAATCAATAAAGTTTCGTTAGTGCACTCATGACAAGTTGGGATCATAAATATAATTGTAATGTGCAATTATGTCAAAAGACAATCTTACCCTTATAATTACGTATCAACCTTACGTCTCATTAATTTTTTTTATGAACTATTTGTTTATGATTCGATCATGAGCTACATCCTTCTCGGGTCAATGCAAGGGAAGGATCGTATGGACTAATCTATCTGCTCTATACGAGAATAAGTAAATTTCATCTACGGAACTTACTGTAACGATTTGAGTTTTTGGAATAAAATAAATAATTAAATGTTCTCGTGTAATCTCCCTAAGAATCGAGGGATTTTCTAGGAGACATTTATTGCCCAATAGAAACATTCTTATTTTTCGAAGTTTTCTTATTCTAAAACTCTAGAATGCCTTATTTGAAAATGTCTTGCGATTATTTTTATATTCTTATGCCCAACCTTTTACATCCCTTGAAGATGATTTTTTCTCCAAACTTCTCTCGGAACATTAGGGTTGATATTTCGGAAAAAAGATTCGAGTGGAAGTAAGATATAGACGTCGGGATCGCCGTGCTTGTGTCGAAGACTCTGCGGGACCGATGGAACTCAGCTTGGCGTGTACGTCGGGCCGACTCTGTCAATTCTTGCGACTCGACTTGACGGCTTAGTTGGTTGGCTTGGCGGCTCGACTTATCAGCTCGATATCGCTATAATATATCGATTCTTAAGTTTTCGGCCCTTCTGAAGCTGTTTATGCCCTTAGTTTTACCATCTCAGGTCGGTATGGTTCCTAACAATCAAAGACAGATTGTGTTAGGAGTTTATTTTGATAAATAACATGAGATTTAGCTAGGGTATGTTATGAAAGGTTCTTAAGTTTGAACGTTTTTAACCGTTGGAATTAGCTTGCTGTGGGTAACTTCGACCAAGACCATCAAGGTAAGTGATCTTACTATTGGAGTTAGCTTACTACGTGTTGTATGATGGTGCGTGCCCTATGGCCTCTGTATGCACCATATTTATTGTGATGACTATATGATGCATGGATTATGTGACTGTTTACGCTGTGAAAAGCTATGGATTATGTTGACTGTTATTATTTACGCTATGAAAAGTTATGGATAATGTTGACTGTTGATTGTTTATGCTATGAAAAATGGTTGATATGCTAGGATTATATGTCATGAAAAATGTTGATCGATGTCATGGATACACGTAGTATTATTAAGTCATGTCATGAGATGCTTATGCAACTAAAATGTATTTTCATGTTATGTAATATGTCATGTAATGCAAGTCATGTGAGATGCCACGTAGTGTAAGAAACGTATATGCGATGTTAGCAATGCTTATGTAATGTCATGTTAGATATGTTAAGGGACCTTATGCATTTATGTATGTCACTTGCATCGGGATAATTCCCCTTTATGTTACGGAGGAATGAAATACGATATTTATATTCGTCATGATATCATGCGGGCTCTTTTCTATTATGTGGTGTCCGGCGACGTGTAACACATTGGGGCCGACCAAGCCAGGCCCAGGGGATATTTATACGAGCCCGCCTAGTGGGTCCATGCACGCGTACATGGGCCATGAGTGAACGAGTACCACACATCCAACCCTACCCGGAATAGAAAAGCGCCCGAGGCTATGTAAAGTTTATGAAAAGTTAGGCCCCGCTCATATGTTGCGTGTTTTTGCATTCCTAACCCCAACAATGGGGTGATTTACTAAGTACTCCATAAAATACTCAAGCCACGTGTTACCTACATTTTTTAGGTAAAGACAAGGTGCCAATGTACAGTTGATGGCGGAGCTGAGAACATCATGGAAGTTGGAGAGGGAATATTTTTAGGAGTTTACATTTATTTGACTGTTTTAAGTTAGAGCATTGAATATTGTTTTATTGAGATTTATTTTGAATTCAGTTACTGAAAGTTTTATTTTCGGAGATAGGTTTGTTTTGGATTTATGAATCTTTATGAAAGATTTTGTTGTCTTTTCGAAGGTTATTTATGATGAGCTTATGCTTAATAAGTTACATATGCATGAGTGACGTCACTAATTAGGTTAAGAAAATTAGGGGCGTTACTATAACGCCTCTAATTTTCTAACCTTTAGTGACGTCACCCATGCATACATATTTCATTACGCGGAAGCTCATCATCAATAACCTTGGAAAAACACAACAGAGTCTTTCCTAAAGATTCATAAATCCAAAACAAACCTATCTCCGAACATAAAACCTTCAGTAACTGAATTCAAAATAAATCTAAATAAAACAATATTCAATGCTCTAACTTAAAACAGTCAAACAAACGTAAACTCCTAAAAATATTCCCTCTCCAATTTCCATGATGTCTTCAGCTCCGCTGTCAACCGTACATTGGCGCTTTTCCTTTACCTAAAAAATGTAGAAGCACGTGGATTAAATATTTTATGAAATATTCAGTAAGTCACCCTACTGTTGGGGTTAGAAATGCAAACACATGCAACATATGAGCGGGACCTAACTTTTCATAAACTTTACATAGCCTTGGGCGCTTTTCTATTCCGGGTAGGGATGGGTGTGTGTACTCCTTCACACATGGCCCATGTACGCGTACATGGACCCACCAAGCGGGCTCGTATATATAACTCCTGGGCATGATTTGGTCGGGCACACGTGTTACATGTCGTCGGACACCATAGAACAGAAAAGGGCCCGCATGATATCATAGTGAACATAAATATCGTAATTTATTCTTTCGTATCATAAAGGGGAAGAATCCTGATGCAAGTGACATACATATATGCATGAGGTCCCTTAACATACCTAACATGACATTAAATAAGCGTTGTCAACATCACATATGCATTTCTTACCTTACATGGCATATCACATAACGTACATTACATGGCATGTTACATAACATGAAAATACATTCCAGTTCTATAAGCACTTCATGACTCGAGAATACTACGTGTATACATGGCATCGATCAACATTTTCATGGCATATATTACTAACATATCATTCATAACTTCACATAACATAAACAATCAACAGTCAACATAATCCATACATCACATAACATAAACAATTGATAGTCAACACAATCTATACATCACATCCTCATATCACATAAATATGGTGCATGCAGGGGCCACAGGGCATGCACCATCATAATACATGTAGTAAGTAAGCTAACTCCAACAGGAAGGTCACTTACCTCGATAGCCTTAGCCGAAGTCACTCACAACAAGCTAATCCCAACGGTTAAATACGTCCTATAATAATCACATAAAAACTTAGGAACCGTTCATAACATACCCTAGCTAAATCTCATGCTATTTATCAAAATAAACTCCCGACCTAATCTGTCTTTGACGGTTAGGAACCATACTGACCTCGAATGGTAAAACTAAGGGTATAAACGGCTTCGGAAGGGCCAAAAACCTTGGAAACAATATAGTATAGTGATACCGAGCCGCCAAGCCAACCAACTAAGCCGTCGAGCCGAGTTGCAGGAATTGAAGGAGCCGGGCCGCGGGATTTGACGAAGCCGAGCCGCCGTACACGTCAATTCGAGCCGAGAACACGC